CAAAGCCCTGCCACATCCGCTCACCGCATCCTCCTCCCCATCACCCCAGGAGGGCTCTGGGCAGGCTGCAGTGTCCCCGTATGACAAAGGAAGATGCTGACCTGCCTCCCAGTGGCGGAGCCAGGACTAAGCCCTGTCTCCTGGCTCTCAATCTCCTGCTCTCTCCTCTACCCCTCGCCTCTTCAGAACCCGCTTCCTGCTCTCTGGAAGCTCCTGTGGAAGATGCTAGGAAGGGCGGTGGGCAGATGTCAGGGGGCTAAGGGTGCATTTTGGTGGCCTTAGTTCAAAGGGGGTTACGGGGACCAGTATGTCCAGAGTAAGGGGGCAAGTGGAGGGGTGCCGGAGGGGACTGAGTAGGGGTGCAGAGAAGGAGAAAAATAGTCGTGAGGCTACCCTCACCAGGACCATTCCCCAGCCTGATGGCCGGGCGGCTGCCAGCCTGTTGCGGCAAAGGCTCCTGGGCTCTCTCAACCCAGCCAGCTCCCTTCCCAGCAGAATGGCGGTGACAAGGGCCTGGGATGGAAGGCCCTCAGCACCCTGGCTCCCCTGTGAGATGGTGGTGGAGTTGGAGGGATTTTAAGGGGCGCCGGGTCTGTGGGAGAGGCCAGTCATGCCGTGGTCACTGCCCCTGAGGGAATGCCAGTGCGTACCGCTCTGGAAATACTGCCTGCGTGGGGCGTAAGCATACGCCCTTCTGTGAGTGGAGCACTTCTAAGGACGGACTCTGGGGAAGGCGGGGCTGCTTGTCAGACCAGCTGCTGCTCCCAGAGGTGAAGCGACCAGCACAGGTGGCCTGGGCCCCACAGATGTGAGAGGTGGGCAGTAGACAGGCCCACCCCTAAATTTCAGAGCCCAGAGCAAAAATACAAATGAGATGCTGTATCTTTGTCAGATATTTAAAGGTTATAAAGCAAGCCAGGGGACTATTAAATAAAATAGGTTTGATTTTCCCACCTTAACAAATATATCTTCATAATGTAAATTGAAATACATGTGTAAAGTTATAGTTTTATATAACTGCAAGTGACAAAATATCAAGAAGTTCTGAATTTAATTATTGCACATATCGGGATGTTTTGTTGTTGGGCTAGTGATGTTCAGATGAATAATAAGACTTACAATTCATTATTATTTATTCCATAAAATGTATTTTATTGTATTTATTTTATCAAGATCACTAATTGTATTGTTATAATCAATATTTTCATGTCATTTGTGTTCTACTGATGGCAGTGATCTCAAGGATAAAAACTAAAATGCAATTGTATTTAAAGTATATAGAATCTGAATATATGTCCATCAAAAATATAAAGTAGGCCGGGCGCGGTGGCTCACGCCTGTAATCCCAGCAATCTGGGAGGCTGAGGCAGGCAGATTGTTTGAGCTCAGGAGTTCAAGACCAGCCTGAGCAAGAGCGAGACCCCGTCTCTACTAAAAAATAGAAAGAAATTAGCTGGACAACTAAAAATATATAGAAAAAATTAGCCGGGCATGGTGGCACATGCCTGTAGTCCCAGCTACTCGGGAGGCTGAGGAAGTAGGATCGCTTGAGCCCAGGAGTTTGAGGTTGCTGTGAGCTAGGATGACACCACGGCACTCTAGCCCAGGCAACACAGTGAGATTCTGTCTCAAAAAAAAAAAAAAAATACAAAGTAAATATAAATGCAGGAAAGTTTATATTTTCAAAAATTTTTTATTCCGTAAAATTATCTATTAAACTTGAAACAATATACATCCTAATCAATGAATATCAGATTTTAAAATAAAATATTAAATAGAGATGAAATATTAATCCATATTTTTGAAGACTTTATAAAAATGAAACTAATGTTCATTGTTCAGCTCGTTGCCAATTTAAAGAATTAGTGTCACACTTCATGTTATATTAATTTGAGTAATATGAGTTGTTAAGATGTTCTTCAGCCACCATGTGCATATTTTGTGAAGACTACACTAATTCATGAGTACTTTTAGAACCACTATTGGAACAGGAAGAAATGCCCAGGGGAAAAAAAGGTTGCTCAGCGATACTGAGATACAGATACTTGGTTATGTAAGAAGCATCACACGTTGCTGTCGGAGAGAAAGGATTTGACAAGTTAGTTTGTCTCCCTTTTACACATTTTTGCCATTCTGCCCCCTCAACCTCCCCACAACCTCTCAAATGACCCCCGCCCCCACGAAAGCAGCAACACGGCATCTGAACAGAATCACCATTTGTTCTTCAAGTTCGAGGGATGGAGAAGAGTTTCACTGGGGCCTGAGCAGTGCTAGGAGAGCGGATGTTTAGGGTTATAGGTCACATGGATATGGCATGACAGAGGCTCCTGTGTGTTCTCTAATGAATTTATTTGTGAGTTTGTGTTTGTGATGTATGGAGCTCAGGGTGGTGGCTCCTTTTCCCTGTCTAAGGGCGGTCCAGGGGGTAGGTCTTCTTGCCGATGAGGACATCTCTATCATACAATTAACAATTGAGAAATAATAGATCTTGCGCTACAGCTAAAGTTTAAATCTAGATGTCATAATTCACTCATTCATTTCATTCATATATACATTTGTTCATTCATTTAAAGTCTATATTCACTTGCTCTAATCCTGCATTTCACTGTGGACTGCCATAGCAGTCTTTTATACAGGCCATGATCCTACAGATGAGGAAAGTGGAGCTCGGAGAGGGCACTGATGTACCTAGGATCACACAGCCAGTGTGCAGCAGAAAGGTCCTCAGGCCAGGTTTTGCAGAGTGTCAGGTGAAGTCAGGATAAGTGTTGCTATGTCCCAATTAGCCTCCCTTCCTTCACCAGCTTCTACCACCCAGCCACCTGCCCCAGGGCCCTGGGCCATCCAGCAGGGGCTTTCTGCTTGAAGAGCCACTTCCTGTCTGGGGCCCAGCACTTCCCTCAAGTGACTCACAGGCTCCCACTGGCTCTGTGCTGGGAAGCCAAGGTGGGGTGAAGCCAGACCCAGGCATGTCACCCTCAGCCTGCGACCCCAGCTGGGTGACCCTGAGACCGGGCAGTGGGCACAGGCTGGAGGTAGGAGGTGGGGACTGGAAGGAGGATGTGATCAGTTCTGCCTCCCCCAGCCTGGTGGGCGGGGGCTCCAGAGAGGCCAGGGTGGGGACAGGGGTGGCCTCCACATCCAGCCATCCCCACATCTGGTTTCCAGGGTAGCTGCTGGCCCAGATGGGGCTGACAGCACAGCTGAGACCACTCAGGGAGGCTGTGTGGCACTTTCTCTTCCTGACAGGGCAGTGAGGGGTGGTGGCAAGAGCTCTGGGCTGGAGTCATGGACTTTTATTTCTGATACCAACTTTCTGGTGTCAGTTCGCTGCCCCTCTCTGGCCTCAGTATCCATGTCTTTCTGATGTGGGGAGGGCTTGATGGCTGTGACATTTCGTGCAGCAGGATTTACGTTAAGAGATCTGGGCTTGAATTCTGGCTCTGCGCCTTGCTGGGTGTGTCCACCCCTCAGAGCCCCCATTTTAAAATTTGAAATAATAATCACTTTCAATGTTTTACATACAGTAACTAATATAATACCAACACTAACCCTTGGGGGTATGTTTTATTATTATTATTATTGTTTTATACATAAGGCGATTGAGGCACAGAGAGGTTAAATAACTTACCCAAGGTCACACAGTAAGAACTTGCCAAGATTCTAACTGGGGTAGTTTGGCTCCAGCTCCCACTATGTGCTTGTTACTCAGATTGTGGTCCATGGACCTGTAGCATCAGCATCACTTGGGAGCTTGTCAGAAATGCAGATTCTCAAAAACAAAACAAAACAACCACCAAAAAAAAAGAAGAAATGCAGATTCTCAGGCCCTGGTCTAGACCTACTGAGTCAGACTGCATTTTAACAAGATCTTTAGGTGATTTGTATGCACATTAAAGTTTGAGAAGCCCTGGTCTATTTATATTTCCTCTGCCACTTAGGCCTTAGGATCATTGTGGGAGGTAGAGGAAATAAATACGTTCTGTAAACTGTGCTGTGCTGTGCCTCAGGGCACTGTGAGAAACCCGGGGACAGGAGGTGCAGAGAGGCAGGGCTGGAGGTGCCCCAGGTTCCCATCTCTCAGTAGCTGATGTCATTTCCAAACTGTCTCTGAGCCCAGCCCTGTCCACCTCTGGTCTGAGGCTGAGTCTTGGCACGTTTCTTGCTGGTGTGTGGCTCTGGGGTCAGTTGGGTTGGGGAGAGTTCTCATACTGGCGCCAGCCTGGGCTGGGCACCAGGCCTGAGCCACCACTGCCTTGGGTCTGCGGGGCACCAGGAGACCTGGGTCCCAGCCCTGGCTCTACCTTTGGCTCTGTGTGACTTAGGTAGGCCCCTGGCCCTGCCAGCCTCGGGGTCCCCTAGTAGGCAAGGTGGCAGCATTTTCTGAAGCCTGCAGTGCTGACCTGAAGCCCCCTCCCCTTTCTTCCTCCCCCCATGGCCAGATCGTACTGTCTCTTCTCCCAGTTTCTGGACGGGGTCTGCCCCGCTGGCTGCAGAAGATGGTGGTGGGGGAGGCGGTGCATGAGTCAGAACTCAGGCACATAATTGCGGTGCCCCAGATCCCGCCTCCGGCCCACCGGCCCTCCCTCAGCGGCTGCTTTAGAACAGCTGGTTTGGCAGCTGCCTCAGAGAAGCAGGTCCCTGGGCAGCAGGAAAGAGCCTCTGCCCTCAGGGTGGCCAAGCTTTGGATCCTGTTTCTGTGGTTCCTGGCGGGGGCAAGAGTGGTTCAGGGAGCAGGTTGTCTGGGTTTGGGCCGGGGCTGGTTTGTGGGCATCATGTGTAGAGGGGGGTTGCATGTGATGGGTTGCACGGCCTAGCATTGGATCACGCGTGTCCTCTCGGCTCACCCACCAGCTTCACAGCTTGCCCGGAGCAGGGACCATGAGTGACCCATCACTGGGAGGGCCTGGGCTGGGGGCTCACTACGGGTCAGTTGGGAGGGTAGAAGGCAGGATAGACTGGTGAATGATCTCACTGGGTTTGTCCCCTTGTCCCCTCAGCTCTCCCAGTGAAGTGACATCACTGCCTTGTGGACAGGACACCCCCAGGAATCCAGCTCACAGTCACCGGTACCTTCTTCCAGGTAAAGAAGAAAGAAAGGAAGGGAGGGAAAAAGGAGTTAGAGATGGGGATGGAGAGCAGCTGACTGGATTCTAATGTCTGCCTCTTCCGTGGGGACAGCACTCTACAGTTTATGAAAAAAGGCAGGAGGAGCAGGGATTATTGTCCCATTTCATGGACAAGGGAGAGCTGAAGCTCCGAGTAGAGTTGTCTCTTGCTTAGTGCAGCGTACCAGGTACTTGTTTAAGGGCCTTACATTGCATTTGTTCATTTAATCCTTGTGACAGCCTAAGAAGTCGGTGCCGTTATTATCCCTGCTTTGTAACTTAGGACACTGAGGAACAGAGACGTTAAGAAACTTTCTCAGTTAAGTGTAGGGCTGGTTTCAAGCCAGGCAGGCCGGCCCGTTCAGAACCCCTATGATTTACTGCCTCTCTAGAGCCAGTAATAAGCTAAGTTTCCATCATCTCCAATTTGAGGGTTTGATGGGCTCCCAACTCCAAGGAAGATCTGTATTTTAAGAGAGAATCCTAGAGAAAGTGATGCTTCAGCCAGAGGAATGAGCGGCAAATGGCGGAATTGGAGGCCTTGAATCGTGGAATTGGCATGAACCTTCCAGGTGGGCCAGCCAGCGCCTGCTCTCGAACAGGGCCAGTTTTCTTTGGTCACCAAAGGGAGACCTGGACATTGAAAGGAGGAAGAAAAGTCCAGGCCCAGGTTCTCAGACATGCCTGGAAGCAGAGAGACTCTGCTCTTTGCAGAGTACTGCGAGGAGCGATGTTAGTGACAGTGATGACATTAGTCTCCTTTGCTAAGTCTCAGGTCATCTTACACTAGATCTGGTACAGAAATGTGCAAGCAAATATCAGAGGTTTAAGAAAAATTTGTGGGAGAAAAGTACCTACTTGAGACTTTTTTTTAGTAACTTACTTTTTTTCTGTAAATTGGGAAAAGGCTAATTATTATTCAGAGGCAGAATTCAGACCAGGCTCAGAAGTGATGCTGCAGTTGTGTGGTTTAAGAGGCGCTGATTTGTTCTATCTTTCCGTCCTTCTTGCATTTAACTGGCTTTTTGACTGACAAATAAATGGGCACTTCCTTGGTGCCAGGCCCAGTGCAGGGGGCATAGGTCCTCTACATAGTGACTCCTCTAGCGGGGACAGGGCCTGGGGTATCTTGTGTCCCCCATCACCCGGTGCAGGGCCACAGACATTGCGGGTCTTCAGAAAAGCCTGGGCAAGTGGATCAGAAGTGTGAACGCGAGGAGGCTCTCAGTCTGGTGGGCGAGCCACTGGAGCAGATAATTACAGAGCACTGGGGCCTGTGATCGTTCTCGAAAGCTCTGCCAGATGATGTGAGCACCAAGGGAGGAGGCAGTGGGCTTCTGGGGGGACTCACACCAAGTTCTGCACAGGGTCCATTTGTTAGGATAGGTGAGAGTTTGATTGGGGTGTGGGGAGGGCTTTCCTGGCAGGGGGCCCAGCCTGAGCAAAGACTGGAGGTGGGCAAGCTGGGTACTGGGTGTCCTTGGAGCACACTGGTGCAAGGAGGGATCGGGGAGGGGAGGCTGGAGAGGTAGGGGTCAAGGGGAGGAAGGAAGAGAAAGAGTCCTTAGTGGTAGGATTTGCTTCTCTTCCCATCCCCAGGACCTGCATGGGAAGCCTATTTGCATAAGAACTCTGCTGTTTACATAAATAAGTGAAATAAATCATTGCCCCCATGCCTTCAGAGGCAAGAACTGGGCAGAGACAAGTTTGCTTCCTCCTCCTCCTCCCCTCTCATTCAGTTGGTGACTCCCCCACCCCCATGCCCTCCACCTCTGGAACCCAGGGAGAGGCATCAGAAGAAAGCCAGCCTGGTCCCTGTGACCGAATCACTGGCCTCCTGGGAGGGGCCTGCCCATGTCAGCTGAGGGGGAGAGGATGAGGCACAACCAGGGGTCCTGGGGCCATTTGCTGGCACTGCTTGTTCCAGGGAGAAGGTGTGGGTGCCAGTGGGGGAGGGGGAGGAGCAGGAGCTACTCAGGGTGGCCTGCCTGCAGTCCTTGTGGCCTGGGGGAACTGCTGAGCCCTCCAGGGAGGGGCTGTCACTGGAAGTACGTGGCTCGGGAAGGGAGGCTGCATGGAATGCCTCCAGGACTTTGCTGCTGCTGACATTTTATGACTTAATAGTCTGAAGCCCAGGGATAGTCCTAAGATCCCAGCTGGATGGTTCCAGGATTCCATGATTGTACGAGTCTTGGGTGAGGTAAGTCTAAAACTCCGGTTTGGGGCATTTGCAGCCTGAGATTTTAGGTTCTGAGATGCTAAGCTCTGCTCTCTGGGCAGGGCCAGGTCACTCTTGGTGACTACTCAGCCCAAGTTCGTACCCCTGACCTGGGAAAGAGAGGTCCTTTCTGTGACAGGAGAACCCAAGGCCCCTGGGCAGTCTCCCGAGGCTGGTTCCTGTGGCCCCAAATGAACCGCAATCATGCAGGTCAGCCTGCCAGGCCTTCCATGAGGGAGAGGCTCAGAAGACACCTGGTGGGGACGCCTGGTTCTCAGCCTGGTGCTGGGCCAGTCCCGACCCCGCCAGCCTCAGCTCCCCCGTGTCTATAATGGGGATCTTGGCACTGACCTGTGGCGTGGGTGTGACGCTCCCATGAGATGGCGTGTGTGGAGGCTCTGCGTAAACTGTAAAGCACTGTGCATACAATTATAATTGTTGAGCTGCTGTTGCTACAGTGAGGTCGTCTCCTTGAAAGGAAGGTCCACGTCTGATTCCCTGAGAACACCTTTCAGCTCTGAGCAGTGCCTGGCACGTGGCAGCGGCTTCTTAAATGTCTACTGAATTAGCTAAAGAACATGCGGTTCGGGAGCGATGGTACCATGAGGCCACAGTTCAAGGAGGAAGCCACCTTCCCCTGGGAGCAGCAGAGAGTGCTCCCACGCTCCTACAGGAGGGTCGGGAGGGTTGCTGGGACAGGTGACAGGACGGGAGAACCCGCCAGCTGGGCTGAAGCAAGCCTTCCGGGGGAGGGCTGGTCTGCCTCGGCCTTGAGGCCCACCAGCCTCCTCCCGAGAGGAAGGACAAGAGGAGGTCTCCCAGGACAGAAGTGTTGGGTAAACAGGAAGCCTTGGCATCACCGTGGAAAGAGATCAATAATGACCCTAATTATGGCATGATGTATTCTTTGGGGCTCCGGCTGAGCCCCAGCCTCGGCCACTGACTGACGTTTCCCCAGAGAGCAAGCAGGTGTGAGGGGCCTGGGCGGCAGGGCCCACCTGCTCTTGCACCTCGAGGCCTCCCACCCTTCTCCCTCCCAGCCTCTCCCCTGGCAGCTGCCTCAGTGACTTAGCCATCCTTCCTGCCCTTGGTCTACCTTTTCTGCCGAATCTAGGGCCTTCTCTGAGGCCCAGAGAGGTGGAGCAACTTGCCCAAGTCTGTACAGTGAGATGGTGGCAGCCTGGATCTCCCCTCTGTGCCACACAGTCTTCCTTATTTCTGAATTCTGCTCAGATCCCACCCTTTCCAGGAAGCCTCACGCAGTGGTCAGTGCTGGGGCCTGAGGAAACACAGAGATTTGAGATCCAGAAGAGACCCTGACCCAGTCAGGGAGGGCTTCCTGGAGGAGGGGCTACCTGAGCTGAACTGAGTAAGAATTTGCCAGGCATTGAGGATAGGCAGAGGGGCTCCAGGGCTAAGGTGGCTTCACAGGCACACCTGGGTTGGGAACAGGGGTGGAGGAAGCAGTGAGGAAGCACCACAGAGAGGCCCTGGTCACTCTCCAAGGCTGTGTTCTTCAAGCCCTGTGGGGAGAAGTCACCATGGTTCTGTGCTTTTCACACCTGGGGTTTTACTGTGAGTGAAGTTTGGGGTCATCACTGTTTGTGGATTATCCAGGCCATGACACACCTTTGCCTTGGTCCCTGTCAAAGATGGTGGAGAGTCTTGGGCAGGGGAGCCCTGGCCTGGGGCTCAGGATGACCAGGCATCTCACCTTGTTACAGGCCTTTCTGCCACTTTCATCCAAGTTTGGAACTGCATCCCAGGAGGGTGACTGTCAGTCCCTGTGATTATCCTGCGGAAGGGAGGGGCTCTTCCCCAGTCAGACCAGGAAGGGACCACAGGTTTGTCCTTCTGTCCTCCTTGAGTGGGTCCTCTCTGCCTTGCTCCTGGGGATGAGGAGAGAGCAGGGTGCTCAGGGTTTTAGAAGTTGAGTGCTGGAAAGGCCCTTGGAGATCACTGGAGGATGTTGAAACCCTCCCACGATACAGAAGGAAAAACTGAGGCCAGAGTCTTGGGGCAGTCACCCAGCCTGCTGGCGGCTGAGCTCAGCCTCACACCATCAGCCCCAGGGCTGGGCTGGGCCGACGCCTGGTGAGGGCGGCCATGCCAAGGAGAAGGGGAGCCCCAAGGAGAAGGGGAGCATTTCCTCTTCTGCACACTCACCTCCTTCCCCCGAGCCGTGCAGGCCGCTGGAGAAGGCCAGCCCTCCCCTCCCCCAGCCCTGGCACCTGCCGTGGGGGGTTTTTCCTTTTCCTCCCCCAGGTTCCTGGCCCCACTCCGTGCCCACGCTGTCCTGGTACCAACCAAAATATTGAGCTCGGCCCTTTGAAGTGCAGTTTGCAGTTACACAGATGCTGTAGATGGCGTAGATGTGGAAGGTGATAGAAACAGGGGACCCTCCGTTTGGGGCTGCTACCACGGGGAGTCTGGGCTTCAGAGTCAGCAGCCCTGGGTTCAAATCCTCCCTCCTCCACGATGAGCTGTTTGGCCTTGAGCAAATCACTTAACCTCTTGGGCATGTATTTATATCCATGTATATATATTCAATTAATAGACTTTTTTTAAAAAGCGGTTTTAGGTTTATAGAAAAATTGATTGGAAAGTACAGGGAGTTCCCACATCCCCTTCCTCTCTCTTCACACCCCTACAGCCTCCCTTGTTCTTTATATCTCGTATTAATGTGGCACATTTGTTAAAATTGCTGAACTAATATTGATGCATTATTATTAACTCTTAATATAATACTAAGAGTAG